ACTATGGGGTTTTATAAAGAATCACAAGAATTAGACAAGATATTACAGGGGATGGATGAAAAATTGATTTAAAAATTATATAATGATTTATTGAGGTTTAAAACGGAAGGGGAAAAAATTCGGCTACACCATAGAGTTAGACAAGTGGGAGAAATTGTGAGGGGGGGAATTATAAATTGACAATGTCAGCAGCTTATAGAGAAAACTTATATAAAAAGTTCTATAGATGGTATCTACCCCCACCAAGACTAGCAAAAATGTTTCCAACCAGATCACCAAAATGCTGGAAATGCAAACAGATACAGACAACAGTGGATAATTTAGAATTTTTAGGACGTCTGTCCCTTTGGGCGTAATGAAGCTGCTGAAGCTATGACTTTCAGAGGCTGGTGATGTAAGTTGGTCCAGAGGGTGTACATGTTGGGAATTATGACCTCTTCCCTCCCCTGCTCTATGACACTGAGAGGCAACAACAGGTGTTTGGTGCCAGTCTCCTCCTTCATTACAGCTCAACGGGTGGCAGAAGGAATTGTGGAGAGACAGGGAAAACAGAAACAAAACCTCCTAGCTCCTGATCAAGAAAAGAAGCCACAATCAGACAAAGCATTATGGTAAGCTAAAGAAACAGAGGGGAAACAAGAATGAAGAAATTCACAGCCACTGGCTCTAAAAGGTTGTAATGTTTGTATCCCAAAACTAGTTAGGCATTACTTCCTTCGCCAGACTGTACTGTTTTTTAGCATAGATTCCATAGTAAGCTGAAGTGGTTAACAGTGCAATCCTAAGCATGCTTACCTGGGAATAAACAGGAGATAGCAGAAGTCAGCAGCAAACCTGAGTTAAAAAAAATACCTCTAGGATGAATTGCAACAAGAGAAACGGCAATCTCTACCCCGAGAATAAGTGGGAAACCTAGAATTCATAACCTGCCCAGATGATACTTGCTGGGATCACCCATTCCACTAAGCCAAGGCAGGAGAACTTTTAAAGAATCAGAGGTTTCACCTCTGTCTTTCTAGCCTCTGGAAAGTTGCCAGAGATCGTCCAGTTTTGTGGCACCATAACTGGAAGACACTGGCTCATGGTTTTTGTGTCCTCTTTTAGCTTTTATGGTGGTATTGTTTGGGGAAGGGACGTGGTGGCTCAGCGACTAAGACGCTGAGCTTGTCGATCAGAGAGGTCAGCAGTTCAGCGGTTTGAATCNACCTCTATGTTGGACATAGTGGCAGGGTGGCCAAAAGCTGCTTTCTTTTTGCCTCACCAGCCATAAACCTCACCACACGTCACTGATACACCAGTGGCATTTCTATTAGGGCAGTGATGGTGAATCTTTTTCTTATGTTGTGCCACAATTGTGTGCCCATGCGCTGTCATGCGTGCACACATGCCCACACCACTTCAATTCTCCCAGCCCATCTGCGTATGCGTGCCCCCCCCACGCAAAAACGGTCTCCCCTGGGCCCCCAGAGGCCCTTCGGAATCCACAAACGGATCGTTTTTGAACTTCCGGTTGGACTGTTGGGGCTGTTTTTCGCTGTCCCCAGATTTCAGGAAAGCCTCCGGAGGCTGGGAAGGATGAAAAATGTCTCCAATGGGCCAACCGGAGGTTCAGGAATGAACTCTCAGTTGACCCGTTGGGCCTGTTTTTCACCCTCCCCAGCCTCTGGAGGCTTTCCTAAACCTGGGGAGGGTGAAAACAGCCTCCCCCAGTCCTCCAGAGGGCCGAAAATCAGCTGGCGTGGTTGGCTGGTGTGCCAGCAAATATGGCTCCACGTGCCACCTGTGGCATGTGTGCCATAGGTTCACCATCACGGTGTTAGGGTAACCAGATAAGGGGTGGAAAAATCAAAACATCCATTATAGCAACAAGGAGGTTCCTGTTCTGCCTTTTTTGCACTGTTCTGTGATTGTCCAAAATTTCATAGCCTTGTCAGGATATAGTAATCTATACAAGATTTACTGACTTGAACAATTTGTTTCACCGCTACATCAATGAATGGAGAGGGTCTCTTTCTATCTAGCAACATTTGTTAGATTGCCTTGTTTTCATCTCAGTCCTAGTAAATAGAATGCAGGTTAATTAAACTGAGATTATCAGACTAGTCTAGTTTGAAAAAGAGAACAGCTTCTCCTTCTCACGTTTGGTAAGTGAATAGAAATATACCTCTAGGATTTCCACTGACGTAGATCTACTAAAATTAGTCAATTTGCAGTAGAACCTCCAGTTCTTCCAGGACACTGTTTTAGAATTCAGTCGGGGAACCCAAAAAATGTAAAAATATTTTTATAGCAATAGCACTTAGACGTATATACTGCTTCACAGTGCTTTACAACCCTCTCTAACAGAGTCAGCATATTGTCCCCCAACAATCTAGGTCCTCATTTTACCCACCTCGGAAGGATGGAAGGCTGAGTCAACTTTGAACCTGGTGAGATCCAAACTGCTGGCAGCTGGTGATCAGCAGAAGTAGCCTGCAGGATTGCATTCTAACCACTGCGCCACCACTCTTAAAAAAATTATGGATATAGAAAATAAGTATCTAAATTGTGATGTTCTTTTTAGGCTGACACTTGTTCGGGGCTGCAGGGATTCCTGATTTTCCACAGTTTTGGAGGAGGCACGGGCTCAGGTTTCACTTCTTTGTTGATGGAACACTTGTCCATGGATTACGGCAAGAAGTCCAAACTGGAGTTTGCTATCTATCCGGCCCCTCAAGTGTCCACAGCAGTGGTGGAGCCCTACAATTCTATCCTGACCACCCACACCACCTTGGAACACTCTGACTGTGCCTTCATGGTGGACAATGAGGCCATCTATGACATCTGCCGTCGTAATTTGGACATTGAGCGCCCCACGTACACCAACCTGAACCGTCTCATCAGCCAGATTGTCTCCTCCATCACTGCCTCCTTGCGCTTCGACGGTGCCCTCAATGTGGACCTGACTGAGTTCCAGACCAACCTGGTGCCCTACC